GACATAATTAAGATAAGTACCTCTTTATCATATTTGTTAATTCTTGTAATCATTTTGGGTTATCTTTTTTTTAGTTAAAAAAGTGAACCGTATAAGTTGCATATTCAATGACAACCAACTGCCAATGATCTCTAAATAAATAGTATCGAGACTAATGTAAAAATATAATACTTGTAACAATTATCATATATGTATAAACTCCAATAAAGTAATTAACAAAGTAAACAATGAAAACATACACATGATTATAAGGTAGGATAAACTATTGTGACTCATTTTTCATTGCACATGCCAAAGTAAATGCACTATCAAGTACATTGCCCACACCACTTGATATACGATTTTGGTCAATGAATCTATAAGTATTAGTCATTTGTCTTTCATTCACATGTTTGTAAATGAGGTTACATGATAAATATAAATCAATTATAATATTGGTATTTAATATATATGAATTAATATATACTATATATATTTAAATGAATATATAAGTCAATATCATGTATGCTAATATTTCTATAATTGAAATTTCATCATCAAATAAAATCTAATAATCTCCTCTTGCCCAATCACGTCATCGATGGATAAATAAATAATCCATCTTGATTTTAATGTTTATCAATAATCCACCAAGTAAACTTTGTTGCACATAATTGAAAAGTGCATGTATACTCGATTTCACAGGTGGATTTTGAATAATTTTAGTCTAAAAAACTTGTTACATACAAAAGTGTATTCATTTAAAATCAAATCATAATAACCAAATAATCCAATTAATTAGTTTAGAATGTATATTACCAAAAAAGAAGATTGGTCAAAAGCTTCAATCGCGATTTCAATTCCTACATTGTCAGTAAATGACTGACCTATTGTGTTAGTTGCTATAGCTACTAATTGTGCCTCTAATTCAGCAATTCGTTCATTTTGTTAAGCTATTATGGATAAATATTCAGTAGTCTTGGATGTGTGATGTTTAAGCTTTGTTTTATAATAATTTGTTGGATGAACAAAGCTCCTAGTACCTTAACACAACCATGTTTGTTTTTTAAATCGAAAGCTTAGGTTAACGCATCTACACCATCACCAGATTCAAGTTCATTAAATGTGCATCTTATAACTACGCTGTCTTAAAATACAGAATGCTTGCATAAATAAATATGATATATTAGCATGCATAAATAGATGGAAGTAACAAATGAGATATAAATTCAATGTGAACTTATCATCTTCTAAGCCATTTATTCAGTTACTTCATTAGTATACTTTTCAATTTTTATAGCATGTGCCTTTTTCCTAACATCTCATCTTAATATTTCATTGCTTGACTTGGATGTTTCCTAAAATCATATCAAAATATAAGATTGCAACTTGAAAATAATTGAATTTCAAAATCCTTAAACTATGTGTATAATACACAATAAAAAAAACTTGCAAGTTCATGCTTTACATTTGTATACTCTTTTCTTGATGATCAATGATGATACTTTTTTTAGGCCTTTATTTTTGTTGGGCTTCTTTAATTTTTTTGTGACCAATAAATTCAAGAACACATGAAACAAATAATTTTAATACCACATGAAACAAATAACCCAGCTTCAATAGTTTTTTTTTTTTAAAAAAGATTATTATGCATACATTGAATTTATCTTATAGTCGAACTGAAATAAACTTCATCCATTCTGTATCACTAATTACATTTGAATATAGGGCTAGGGGATGAGCCAACAGTTCAAAATTGTTAGCATTAGGTAATAGATATTTTTGTGTCAATCTACCTTTAAAGTTTTAAATTTTAGCTCAGTGATTGCAATACAATATTCTTATACTTAGTTGGGATGTCAAAACATTTCTATAAAGAATAAATTAGAACATTTGAACAAGGCAATGTAATTGCATTCCATAAGCAATAGACATCAATGATCAATAATTTCAATTTGATTAATATAACTTATTACAATTGATTCCTATATATAAATATTTTTTAATCTGCTGGAATGTTCCTTCAACTGTCATAGTTAATGGATATTGTCTCTCGAATGAGACATCTAATATGGCTAACCATTTTCTACATACCACTTAAGACAGGTTAGCTAGGCATTGAACTCAACATGTATTTTCTTATCAATGGCTTAAAGCAACTTAAATCGTCACCTAACTTTTTTTTTTTTTTTTAAAATGATGTGTCAATCAAATGTTCTTCTTTATATTCGGTTGAGGTAGATACGTGGTTTTAGGATCCATTATATCAACTAATCTATACATATAAATATGGAATAGGAAAAACAGAATAAACATGTGTTCATAAACATGGGAAAAAATATGATCCATTATATCAACCAAAATAAATGTGTTCTTTAGGATCCATTATACCAACTAATTTATTTATTTATATTTTTCATAACATATATTTATATATGTTTATATTGTTTATAATATAAAACCTAGGACTAAAATTGATTTATGCACCTTAAGTCCATGCCATTCTCAATTGGATTGCGCAATGAACTGCTTAAGCAAAATAATGTAAAAGAACACCATAAATCAAGATACTAACTTACAATTATAAAATTAACTTATGAATGCATGAAACATAGGCAAAAACATGATAAACTCAAACGAATGGAATAACATATACCGAATACAAGGAAAAAATAAAGTAAACAATATGCTTAAGTTAGTCGAATGTAATATAAACCTAAAATATCAAAACATGGATTGATTCATGACAAAAATACTATAGATTTTTTTTTTGGTTCATAACATAAGAACATAGCATGATAATTCTTTGTTACTTGAAATGACGGTGATAGAGATGGTGGCAAAAATGACAACAATGTATGTGGCAACAACTATAGCAATGAAAACAGCCTTTACTACCTAACGATGAGTAGATGGTGTAGGTTTTGGGTTTAAGGAAATAGATTTGGTTTATTGAGTGGCATTTGGGTAAATGGCTGAAAAATAAGTTTATAAATAAATGTAAAAATTGCGTTTCTACTTTAAAAAACGTAATTTTTGTAATTTTTTTAATCAAAGACTATATTTTTACAATAAAAAATATAGTTTTTGTAAATTGTTTTCAATAAAAAACTATAACTCTACTTTAAAAAATGTGGTCGTTGTAAAATTTTTTTTAATCAAAAACTAAGTTTCTATTTAAAAAAAGCAAGTCATTATAATTTTTTTTCTATCAAAAAATATGTTTATACTTTAAAAAATATAGTTTTTGTAAAATTTTTTCAATCAAAGAATACATTTCTACAATAGAAAACATATTTTTTTTATAATTTTTTTCAATCAAACATTACATTTCTACTTGCATAAAGGTAATGATTGTAAATTTTTTTTTTCAATCAAAGATTTTTTTTTTATTTTATTATATGTATTGGCTTTTTTTACTCATGCTATGCACAGAGTTTTTTATTATAGTTTTTATAATTTAAAATTTTAATTTATATTAATTTTTATATTATATATATAAATAAAAATATTTGTAATCATCTATAATTTGTAATTTAAAATTATAAAAATTGTCTATTTATAAATTATTATGAAAGAATTAAAATAAGTATTATGAAACATTTGAGTTATAAAAGTAAAATTACATATAAATCTCAACGAGAAAGTCGATTTTTTATTCATAAGTATATACACTCTTAAAAATATATATTATTTTTGTATGAAAACTAAGTGTTACACATGTTATATATCTTGAAACTTTTTCTCATGTTTGAGTTTGAAACTTTATCATATCAAATTTTTGTAATGAAATTTAATTACTCTATTTTTTTTTAAAAAAAATATTAATTGTGAGAAAAAATTATAAATATATATTTGATAATTATTTAATTTAAAAATTTTTAAATTTTTTAAAATGTAATTTATTCAAATTTAATTTTAAATTAAGATAAAAGAGGTTGGTATAATTTTAAATTTAGATAAGTATGTAGTTTTAAAATAAGATAAAATATATATTTTTTATTTTAAATCATAAAAAATAAAGACAAAAAAAATTGATAAATAACAATGATTCAACCTCAAGTTATTTAAATTGATGTGAATACTGATGTAGACTATTATATTTTTTATGGTTTCTAACATTTGATGATTTAACGTTAAAAAACTATTTAAATTTTGTATTTCATATACATGAGTAAAAGTGAGGGATGAAATATGTTTTTTCAAGTTTAAATTAGAATAAAATTTATGTACTTTGAAAGACTTGGATAAATTTAAATCTAAAATTTTTAAATTTTTAAAAATTGAATAATTGATAGAATAAAATTATTTAAAACTTTCCTATATGTTAATAATATAAGTTATTCACTTAAATGTTTACATAAGTAAATCTTATTAAATTTTTATCTATGTTGTAATATAATATTATATATGATATATATATTGTTCATAATAAATCAGCTTATTTTTAATATTATAAAAATAAAAATCTTTTTTATTTTGATTGTTTAATGGTTGTCACATGTTTAATTTTAACAACATAATAGGTAGTTGAAATGTTGGTCATTTGTTATTTACATGTAATGAAGATTATTATAATAAAATGCATTTATTATGTAATTTAACTTTTTTCATAATCTAATACAAGATCTAACATTTTCATAGTATAAAAAGTCATCTATTGTTAAAAACTCACACTTATGAGGATTACTTTCCCTCTTGAAATATAAGATTTCACGAATCAAATATCTTTTAAAATTATTTTTATTACATCATTAATTAAATTTTTTTAATTTTTAATAATGTAAAATAAAAAAATAATATAAATAATTTATATAAAAGAAAATATATCAAAATTGTATAATTTACTAACTTCATATAGCTTGTATACGCAATATATACATATACACGCGTTACTTTTTTACATGAAAATTTTGGAAACAAAATAAAAATAATCTTTTGTTCGAGAAAAAGTAAAATAAATATTGAGATAAAAGGGCAAATGCAATAAAACCCAGGCCCAGCGGCCCACGATCAAAGACATAAATAGAATGAATAAAAAGGCCCCCAATTCATCGGTTGCTGAAGAGTGAGGATTGAGGAAGAATAAGGAAGAACTCATCCTATTTTCTACAGTTTGTAGTTTTTTCGGCCACTACAGAACCAAAACAGAAAAGAAAATGGCATCGAACGCGGCGGTGCCGTTCTGGCGTACAGCCGGCATGACATATATCACCTACTCAAACATTTGCGCCAACCTCGTAAGAAACTGCTTGAAGGAACCTTACAAGACCGAAGCCCTTAGTCGTGAGAAAGTCCATTTCTCCATCTCCAAGTGGACCAATGGAAAGCCTGAAAAGCCCAGTATGTCTCTTTTCCTTCTTCTTCCCCTCTCAGATCTGGGTTTCCATTATCATTTCTGATTCATTTTATATAATTTCGTTGTTATTTGATTAGATTTTTGTATGATTAATAAAAGGGTTTTGTTACCAATTCTGATCGTGATTCAATTTATATCTAATCTGTTTAGCAGGAATTGGTATATATATGTATATTTAAATCTGTTTAATCTTTCACGTTTGATTGCTAATTTTCGTAGAAAAAAAAAAAAGAAAAAAGAATTAAGGAGAAAAGACACAGGCGCAAACTTGAAACTGAAACCATAAAATATTTGAATTTTTGGGTCTGTTTGGCTGGTGCTTTTTTTTTTTTTTATTTGCTTCTTAAGACCTTGCTCCAATGTACAATCAATATTTGTTTAAAAATGAATAATTGCCTAAGTTGAATCTGTAACAACAACTAATTTGTTTTCTTTTTCCTCCCTCTTTTGGAACCAATACAATGAAGAATGGTCTTTTGCTATGTTTAGTGTCTCTGGATTTTGTTTCATGCATTTATACTTTGCATCTGCCAAATATGGTTGCCATTCTTTGGTTGCTCTTATCTAGTATTCTAAACACGTTCTGGCATCCAAATTTTTTGTTTGTTGCGAGCACCTGTGCTGAATAAAAATAACTCTTGAAGTGGACTTTTACATAAAAATCTTTAAATAGTGCTTGATCACACAAACTCTCATCTTGTCGGTTTACTTGACATAGCCTGCCGAAAAAAAGTTGTTCAGATGAAATTAAGATCAACTGAGTTTTATGTATACAAATCCTTATTAAGTCTAATCAATGACTATGTTGCTAGCTTAGTAGTTTGATTCATTGGTCTACTTTAAGTCTATAACAAGCAAGACTACTTAGTATCCTTGATATTATCTATCTGGGTGAAGTGGATGGAATTTGTGTGATGAAATTTAGTTTTTTGTGGCATAGAAAACATCTTGGCATTAATGCTTGAGAGAATTGTGTGGGATGTTCTACTAGCTAGCTTCTATTGCTTAATATTGGTTAAGTGAAATAATTGTCAAGTTGACCTAGACAGCTTAAATCTTTTATGAACGCTAATTGTTTGGAATTCCATTTAGCATCGGATGTTTAAAGTAGTGAAGTTTATTTGCAAGTTGGGCATGAACCCTGTGGCATTTGGGCGGTTCCTGCAAATTGTTTTCATGTTTTCCTATCATGTTGCCACTATCTTTACTCAGGTTGGTGTATGAAAAGAAGTCTGGTTTATTATTTTCTGTAGATCTCTAATATTTATTTAGCATTATCTTACTCCTTTATTTGCTGTCTGTGTTTGTATGATTGGGTCAGTATCTGTATTTTTCCTTTTGCCCCTTGTGTTACTTTTCTATGTCAGACATTATTTATGAGGGTAATTGCAAAAAACACATAGTGGTTTGGTCAAATTACATTTATCTCTTTGTATTTAGTCACCTATCATCACGTGAATCATGGCAGATGCAGTCATATGTTAGTATATGATGACAATATTGTCAAAAAGATATGTGAGTACTTCTGTTGGCAAGTGACATTAAACGAGTGCTCACCAGACCCAAGGGAATAATTGTTGATATTGCAACATGCAAGGAAATAATTGTAATTTCAGCATACTTTGAACTGTAATTTTTTAACTTACCCAACTATTTTCTTAGATTTACTTGACTTTCAACTTGTCTTCTCTGTCCTCAGTCTCTTCTTCTGCCATGGTTTTTTTAATCCTTTTAAGAATAAAGTTTCGTGATATCATTATTTGTCTGTTAATGACATGTATTCTGATGAAAAATCTCATTGCTTTGATACCAGCTATCCGCTCAGATTCGTCTGAAGAATGAGTTGCACGGTTGGTCATTGAAGCCTCTAGATGGGAGGAGTTTTAATCTATTTTTTGGGTGATTTCTGTAATGTCCAAGACATGTGGACAGATTCCAGACCTTTTTGAGATGCTGCTGCATTTCACAATAATATACCTTGCAAATGGACTGAAGTGACTCCACATCTTAAATACTGCTGTTGGGTTTTTTCAGCTGCACTTTCAAAAACATCTTTTCTTAGTGGTGTGATTGTGCCTATGATCTTCTTGATTATTGATTGAGTAGTTCGAAAGGTTCCTAATTGGTTTATTTGTTGATTAATTCCTTTCAATAGGTCCCCATTATCTTCCTGATTGATATGAATGAATGGCTGAAATCTGAACTTTTGCTTTAGGTAATTTTTGTATGAAGGAAAATGATTGGGTCATTCGTCATGTTCACTAATCAAAGATTATGGAATTGCAATCCGAGTTGTAATATTGTACAATTCGACGAGTCTAGAGTCCTGATGAATAATTCAACACTTTGGAGATGACCTTAGGGATAATTAGCTGGATTTCTTGATGTTCATTTTTTTTTTTTTTTTTTTTTATTTTCTTACTTGCAAGGGAGTCCAAATGCAAAACAAAGGTTAATAGGAGAGTGGAGACCTAAAAATAATCAATTTTTGTTAGAAAAACCTTATCCTGAAAATTAACTGCTTAGTCCCAATTTGGATCATGGCTTCTTTAGTGCTCCATGTGCGCTTAAAAAATGCACAATTTCGCTAAGTTGGGTTGAACAAAGCCTATTTTTCATTTGAATTGTAAGTACATAAAAAATATTATATACATCATTTTGATTTTTCATACATTAAATCATTACAAGAAGTTCTTTTTTTTTTTTTTTGAAAGAAAGTCTGCTTTTTCATTTAATCATAGCCCAAGTTTGCTTCGAATTTTAGAATATCTTGCAAAAACACAGGAATATCCTCCACCCAGTACTCCCCCTCATGTAGTGAAGTGCTATGCACTGCCAGTCGATGTGCTGCTACATTCCCTGACTGTCTTGTATGTTGTGTGTTGCAACCCTTCATCTCTACCATCTTTTGTCTAGCGCTCGTCAACTATTACGCCAACTGGGGACATATCTTGGGTTCCTTGTTTGGAGTTTATTGGTAACTGTTAACGCATCTCTATTACAAATTCATTAATCCCCACATCTTTCGCAAAATCCAAGGCTCGGACAGCAGCAAGAGCTTCAACCGTGTAGGGGTTGGTTACCCATGGTATACTATCACTGTAAGCTCCATCACTCTACCCTTCTCATCCTAATGAATCACTCCAAAGCCATCTTTCTCCATTTCCTTATCCATTGCCCCATCGAAATTCACCTTTATCGTACCTCTAGCAGTATGTTTCCAGCCCATATTCCTTCTTCACTGTATCTTTGTTGTTTCAGCTATGCCCTGTTAAAGTCCATCGTGTATTCTTTCACAGAAACAGCAGCAGCATCTGGTGCTTTCCTCTGTTCCTCATGATGTTCATTGTTTCTGTCATTCCATATTGTCCACTAGCCAATCATAAATATCTACATTTGTTCCATTGTGAAATTTCCAACTATCTTGGAGAGCTAGTGAAATGGTTTCAGTAGTTGCTCATCAACCTCATCCCATTTGAAATTCAGCTTTTCCCAAATCCTTTGCCCAATTAACTTCTTTGACCACTGTTATGACTATTTCTTCATTGTGGCCACATCGTTGACACGTTGTCACCATTGGTATTCGTCTCTTTGCTAGGTTCACCCTCACTGGTAGAAAGCCTTTGCCCACTTTCCATGCTAGTATCTTGATCTTCGTTGGAAATGGCACTGCCCAAATCCTTTTTCAGGTTCCTTGCTCTCTCCTTCTGTCTTCATTGCTTCTTGCTTCTAAACCATTCTCTTGTGACATTTGACATAGAATTCTATAGCCACTTCTCACCGTGTATATCCCTTTATTATCAAAATGCCATACCATGTTATCAGGCTTGTCTAGCTTGCTTAAAGGTAATGCACATATAGCTTCAGTTTCATCCTGTAACAACATATCATGAATATCAAACCATTTCCAAGTTCTTGTTTGTTCGTTGATCAAGTCTGCTACAAGTTTGTTCTCATCATTATCATTTGTTGGTGATTGAGGCCTGAATGAGGTAGAAGAAAGGAGCCATTTGTCAACTCAGATTCAGATAGACCTGCCATTTCCTGCACGCCATCGCAAACCATGGAGCAAAACTGCTTTTGTAGCCGAAATACTTTTCCACGTTAAAGAGGGGTGTACTCCAAGTTCAACGTTGAGGAATCAGACATGTGGGAAATATTTGGCTTTTATTAGTTTATGTGCTAACATGCCTGGGTTAGCTAAAATTCTCCACCCTTGTTTGGCTAGCATTGCCTTGTTGAACTCTCCCATTTCTCGGAAGCCTATGCCCCCATCTTTTTTTGCCCTCCACATTTCCTTCCAGCTTTGCCAGTGTATGCCCCTTGTCTCCTTGTTACTTCTCCACCAATAATTGCTTATCAGCCTATTCAATTCTTTGCATAATGTTTTTGGAAGTAGAAAGCAACTCATGGCGAAGGTGGGAATGGATTGCAATATGGATTTGATGAATACCTCTTTAACTCCTATTGATAACATTCTTTGACATCTTCCATTCATTCTGGCACTTATTCACTCCTTCAAATCCCTGAAAGCCCTTCTCTTGTCCTTTCTCACCATTTTAGGCAATCCCAAATACTTCTCCAGATTTTTTGTCTCTTGAATTCCAAACAAGTTCTTTATTTCCTCCTTTTTCCCTTCTCTTGTATTGTCGTTAAAAAATAAAGCCGATTTATCTAGGTTTATCTTTCGGCCTGAGCTTTCTTCATATCACATTAGCGTGTGTATCGCCTTTTCGCTTTCACCTCTATTGGCCATGGTGAAAAGAAAACTGTCATCAGCAAAGGAAAAGTGACTAACTCGAGGTCCATTTTGGCTTGCCTGAACTCCATGCAGTAACCATTGTTCGTGGCATTTCTTTAGCCTCACTGAGAGACCTTCAGTACAAATAAGAAGCAAATAGGGTGATTACGGGTCTCCTTGACGAAGTCCCCTTGTTAGAAAGAATTCATCAGTGATGCTTCCATTTACAACAAGAGAATATAGGACACTGTTGTAACACAATTCATTACCTTAAATATCCACCTAGAATGGAAACCCTGTCTAAGCTTAATCTCCTCAAGAAACTTCCACTCCACTCAGTCATAGGCCTTACTCATATCAAGCTTTTAAGGCAAAGAATCCCTTTCTCCATTGTTTCTTGGTTTTCAAATGGTGCACAATTTGGTAGGCAACTATAATATTGTCTGAAATTAACCTGCCCAAAATGAAAGCACTTTGTGTTTCACTAATACAAGAAGGAAGAATTGTCTTAACCCTATTAACTAAAACTTTTGATATGATCTTGTAATCACATTGCATAAACTAATAGGCCTAAATTGGGTAATATTTTTAGGCTCTTTAATTTTTGGGATTAGGACAATATTAATATGGTTTATCTCGACTAAGTCCCTCTCCCCCTAAGACATGACAAACAAAAGATTGTAACTTTATTACCAATAATATGCTAAAATTTCTGGAAAAATAGAACAGGATACCATTAGGGCAGGTGATTTGTTAGGACTCCTTTGTTTGACCACTTTGTGGACTTCCCTTTTGCTGAATTCTGTAAGGAGTTTGTTCATCTCATCAGTAATACAAGGTTCAACAACGTCCGGTACATAGTTATGATTTTATGGATTATCCGAATGGAATAACCTTTCGAAATATCCAGTGGCTATTTGCTCGATTTTTTCCTCTTCTTCACACCATACCCTATTTTCATCCTCCAGCCCTTTAACAATATTTCTCCTCTTCCTGGTCGAAGCTTGGGCATGGAAAAAACTTGTATTTCTGTCTCCTTCTTGAAGCCATTGAATTCTTGATCTCTGTTTCCAATCAACTTCTTCCTTCTCCAAGTAATAATTCAGCTGCCCCCTAATTTGGTTAACCCAATCCAAAGTTTCTGTAGTGGGGGGTTTCATGCTCAGTTGGTTAATTTCTTTCTTGAGTATTGCCATCCTCTCCCAGTATCACCAAAATTGGATTCATGCCACTTTCTGAATCTTTCGCTAATCTTATTCATCTGGTCAAGTACGGATACTATGCTATTGTTACCCCAAGCTGCTTTCACTACTCCTTCGCTATTTGCCTGTTTCGGCCACATGGGTTCAAACCTAACCCTCCTTTTATTACCTCTGTTCCTTCCGTACCTTTTTGGCTTTTCAGATCTCACAATGATAGAACAGTGATCGGAGATTGGTGCTGCCAAGCGTTGGACTTCAAAATCTGGAAACTGGTCACACCATTTCTTGTTCCCCAAACCATGGTCTAATCTTTCTCTTAACGTTTGTAGCCTGTGATCTGCCTCTTTCCCATGTGTACCATTGACCCTCATATCCCAAGTCATCGAAATTGCATACTTCCAGTGCTTCCCTAAAAGCTGTCATTTGGCTTTCTTTTCTCATGTTTCCTCTGTCTTTTCATGGCTCCATAACAATTCGTTGAAATCACCTAAACCAAACCATGGTCTATCATCTTGCTCTACTAAGTTCCTCATCAGTGTTCACGACTCGTGTCTCCTCACATCAGGTTCCTCGTAGAAGCCCGTCAACTCCATGGACTGATTTTTGGGCCTTTTCTCACCTCCATGTTGATGTGGTTTCTCGAGAAACTCAGCAAGTTTAGTTCAATATCATCCCTCCTCCAAAGCATTGCCAATCCCCCACTATTTCCCTCCGAGTCCACCCCGAAACATCCATGCATGCTAGACATCTTTTTTATTCTATCTAATTTATTTACATGTAGTTTAGTTTCCATAAAAAACACTACATGGGGATCTTTGCTCTTCACCAGTTCGCAAAGAGCTCGA